GTGATGAAGAGCATCATGCCAAACATCTCCAGGAAGTATTGCAAACTCTAAGAGGCAATAAATTGTTTGCCAAGTTCTCTAAATGCGAGTTTTGGCTGAAGAATGTGACTTTTCTGGGTCATGTCATTAGTGGAGATGGTATTTATGTGGACCAGCACAAGGTACAGGCTATAGCTGAATGGCCAAGACCTATGATAGTGGCTGAGATACTGAGTTTCCTTGGGTCAGCTGGCTACTACATAAGGTTTGTAGAAGGGTTTTCCAAGATTGCTGCACCTTTGAGTAGATTGACTCAGAAGGCAGTTAAATTTGAGTGGAGCATTCAGTGTGAGGAATCCTTTCAAGAGTTAAAGACTCGTTTGATGACTGCACCTATTCTTTCGATTCCTTCAGGTACGGAGGGATTTCAGATTTTCAGCGATGCGTCACTGAAGGGTTTGGGTTGTGTCTTGATGCAACATGGAAGAGTAGTTGCCTATGCTTCTAGGCAATTGAAGAGTCATGAAAAGAACTACCCAACCCATGAATTGGAGCTTGCTGCTATAGTCTTTGCCTTGAAGATTTGGAAACACTACTTATATGGTGTACATTATGAAGTGTCCACTGATCACCAGAATTTGAAATATATCTTTTCTCAGAAAGAGCTGAACTTGAGACAGAGGAGATGGATGGAACTGCTTAATGACTATGATTTGAACATTCAGTATCATCCGGGAAGTGTCAATACTGTTGCTGATGCTTTGAGTAGAAAACTTCCAGCGAAGTTAAATAATTATTTAACTCAACAAGAGAAGTTGATTGAAGAGATGGATAGATTGGAGTTATCAGTGGTACTTCCTACAACTGGAAATGTAGGATGGTTGAGTCAGTTGACTGTGCAAGCTGATTTTAAGAGTAAGATAACTGAAGCTTTGTGGAAAGATCCAGATTTTGTGAAAATCATACAGTTAGTAAAGGCTAGGCATGAAGAGGATTTTATTCTTGATGAGGACAATCTCCTTTGGTATAAGGGCAAGATTTGTGTAACTAATGTTGATGACTTGAGGAAGGATGTTCATGAAGCTCATCACTCTGCTTATACTATCCATCCTGGTAGTAATAAGATGTATCAAGACCTTAAGGGTTTGTTTTGGTGGCCTGGGTTGAAGAGGAGTGTAGCTGATTTTGTTGCCAAATGCACTACTGTTAGTTGGTGAAGGCTGAACATCAAAGGCCAAGTGGATTACTTCAACCCTTACCGATTCCAGAATGGAAGTGGGATGATATTGCTATGGATTTCGTATCGGGATTACCCAGATCTCGGCAGGGTCATGATGCTATTTGGGTTGTCATTGATAGGCTTACAAAGTCTGCTCACTTTTTGCCTATCTGATTGACTGATTCAGTTGAGAAGCTAGCAATGTTGTACGTGGCTGAGATTGTACGATTACACGGTGTACCGAAGTCCATAGTATTTGATCGAGATGGTAGATTTACTTCTAGACTTTGGAGGAAAGTACAAGAGGCTATGGGCACTAGATTGACATTCAGTACAGCCTTCCATCCTCAGACTGATGGACAAACAGAGAGGACTATTCAAACTCTTCAAGATTTGTTGAGATTGTGTATTCTTGATTTTGGTAGAGGTTGAGAATCTCATATCCCTTTGATAGAGTTTGCCGACAACAATAATTTCCAAACCAGCATAAGAATGGCTCCTTATGAAGCCCTCTATGGCAGAAAATGCAGAACACCTCTTTGTTGGGCAGAGGCAAGTGAGAGGAAGGTAATTGGATCAGATCTTGTTGATGATGCCACATATAAAATCAGATTGATCAGGGTAGGTTGCTAACAGTTCAAGATAGGCAGAAAAAGTATTATGATGCAAAGCACCGATTTGTGGAATTCAGTGTAGGAGACCTTGTTTTCATAAAGATTAGGCCTATGAAAGGTGTACTTCGTTTTGGAAAGGTTGGCAAACTTAATCCCCGCTACATAGGTCCTTTTGAAATAGTGGAAAGGATTGGGAAGGTGGCCTACAGATTAGCTTTACCCACTACTTATGTTGTCCACAATGCGTTCCATGTTTCTTCATTGAGGAAGTATATATCGGATGATACTTCTAAGATCATATTGGAAGATGTGGACTTACAACCAAATCTTACATATGTTGAAGAACCAGATCGTATTTTGGAGTTCAGTGTGAAGCAATTAAGAAGCAGGGAGATACCGTTCGTGAAAGTTCTATGGAAGCATGGATTGGAAAAGAATGCCACGTGGGAGGAGTCAGAAATGAGGAAGTGCTATCCTCATCTCTATGAGTAAGGTATGATTATTTTTCCTCTCTTTTGAATTTCAAGAACGAAATTTTTATTAGGAGGGAAGGATTGCAAAACCCGGAAATTCATCATTTGAGTGCGTCGCACGCATTTCGATGATTTTGAAATTTCACTTTAGGGCTTTTCCAAAAACAATAATTGTAAGCTTAGAGTTAACCCACATTATTGCTAAGAGCCTTGGGAAGTCTCTAATGAAGAAAAATTGAGAAATTTGAAAGAAAAGAATTTTTCCTAATTTTTATATAATATTAATCCGAAAATTATTAATAGAATTTATTAACTAGATGAAGGGAATGTTTTTGCATGCTTAGGTGATGAAAATAATAAATATTGAAATGCTAAATTTTGGGGTTTTATTTAAATCCGAAAATAACAATTTAATTTTAAATGAAATTAATGCTTTTGGAGATTTGAATGCTTGTGTTAATATTTGGAATTTCTTTTCCCTTAGGTTTGAATAAGGGAAAGTGGTAAGGAGTGCGAGGAAGTTTAGCGAAGAAAGGTTTTAGAGTAAGTGACACATTGCATTCTAAAATTCATAGAATTTCCTTATGTATTGCCTATGTTTATTAGCCTCATTAAATTCTCTTATGTTTTACTTATGTTTAATTTTGGATGTTAGCACAAATCTCAAATCTTGTATTATGTTCTTTATGTTGCACATATGGTATCTTCATGTAATGTTCATGAGAAAATATTTTACTTTCATGCCTACTACAAGCATTCACATACATGTGACACATCATCTGATTTTATGAAATCCCTTACGTTACTATGTAAACAATCTTATTGTTATGATTATGGAATACAAGTTTGTGTATGCTGAACTGCGGAGTACCAAATATGGATAAGGTTCTTCGGAACAATAAGGCTCTTAGAGCAATATGATGATAAATGGCCAATTATGAATTTGTACCTGATCAGAACAATACGGGTACTCCGGTATGGGTGTATACTATATGAGAACTATATCATGTAAGAGTTATAGGAGATAAACATATGATAGGTAAGAAGGAACATTACATATGGCATCAATTCTTACATATGACATTAATCTTACATATGACATTAACCTTATATGTGGCATCAACCTTGACATAAGTCTTACATATGACATTAACCTTACATAGAAATACGATGTTATCTTGCATATCAAATTCTTTTTCATTGTATAAATTTTAGATTGAAATATATCATTTGCTGAGCGTAGCTCACTCCCTAGCTTTGGAAAAATTTTCAGGAGAACCTACTAATAAGGGATGGCTGAACATCGAGGTTTACATATTGTCGTCGCGCAACGGGTGACAGGTTCTTCCTTGTTTCTCCTAGTCATTACTACTTTCTTTTGGGTGGTTTTGTCATAACATGATTAGATTAAGTTTATAACCACCTTATACATGAACTTCCTTTTTGAAATGGTTTGAATGTTAAATACATGTTTTGGAAAAAGTTTAGAGGCGCTTTTATGTTTCTTTTGAAATATTTTGGAATTGTTATATATGAAATATGATGATTAAATTGTTTTGATCATCTGAATTCGTTCCCGCCTCGAATTTACGAGCTAACCGGGTCGGATCGTGACAAATATGACATGCAGTGGAGGTGCTATAAGTATTCAACAAGGAAGAATGTAGCCAAGCTTTGATTTTTCAAGCCCCAAAAAATAAGAGTACTCAGAACTTGACATTTACTCCATAAATTGCTCAAAATATTAATCAAGTCAGAATCAATTCTGAAAATGATAAGTTTTCAAGCTGAGGGGCTCACATGGGTAAATTTGATTGAGTTGAGTCACTTAAATCTGCTAAACCCCGGGTATCCAATAAACAACACTCCAGCAAGGACACAAGATAGAAATTATACATGCTTATAAGTTCAAGTAAATCAGATAGATTGCCGTCATTCGATAGATATAAAGATGATTTTGCAAACAAGTTTGTTTCAGATTGTTTTTGATGATTCAATAATCAAATGAGAAAACAAGAACAACCATTTCAATCTACATGAAAAAAAAGTCATCAAATTTCTGATTTTATGCTGTGCTTTAAGCTGTTAAAAATGAACTGTTAGTTTGCCCAAATAGCCAAAAAATATTCATTTCAAGGTGTAGTCATAACTTTTCAGGCATACATCTTAAATAATATAAAAAAATTCAAAACTTTTGATTTCAAAAACAAAAAATAACAAACTATTAGACAGCAGTAAATTTGGTTAAGGGTATTTACCCATCCTCCATTCCTATCTTATGATCAATCAACTTTGGTTTCTAACTTGTTCATATATCAGAAATCAGCATCAAGTCTTGTTATTGTAATTGAAGGTCTTATCAGAAAAAATCAATAAATAATAAGACTGGAGAATGAATATTTTCCAGAAAATACAAATGTGTGCTTTTGGTTAGCCTTTAGAGATTTTAAAAGGATAAAATAAATATAGATAAATAGAACCAATCATTATGAAGAAATTTTTATCTAGAAGATAAGGTTGTATGACTGAATCAATCTCAACACAATAACAATCTATCAAGTTGAAATTCAAAGAAATAAATAAATATCTTGAATGAGATTCTGAAACTCATGTCATGTTTGAGCTGTCTACAGCTCAATAAAAGGTGAATAAACAAACTCAACAAGGAAAGTCAACTAAAAATGAGCTCATTCACAGTAGCAATCTAAAGCTCACCTGGTTATAAATAAATCTTGTTAATGTTTGGCACCCAAGAATCCTTAAATGATCTAGCTTCTTTGCATCCAAAAGTGCGGTGACAACACTCAAAAGGTTTCTAGCAAAATATGCCCTATGCAAGAATAAAGCAAATTGTCAAATACAAAAGTCAAAATCCTCAAATGTTTACAGATTCTAAAATGTTCATATAGTTAACACTACATGAGAGAATCATAATAGTCAGATTAAAGACATGATATAGATTGTTATCTATGAAATCACATATGCATCAACTCATCTATAAACTATGTCAAATAGGTTACTTAATTCAAACGTAAAGATATATCTCAATCCCTTACCAGAAGCAAATTTCAGAAACTTGTTTTACATTGAACTCATTGTGACCACTAACCCAACATATATTACAACTTCAGGTTAGGAATTCAAGAAGTCTTTATTTAGATCAGGAGAAAAATCAAATCAATTTCATTTTAAAACCCAAAACTCCCTAAAAATGATGGAGGAAAATTAAGGGTCTAGAATTACTAATGCAATCTAATATAAGATTCAAAAGAAAAATATATAGAAAAACCACAATCAGCAAATAACCAACTTGATAACTTTAGAAAAAAAATCAGAAGCTGTTAATATAAAAACAATAAACACAATTCAATCCAAATAATAATATAATGGTTGCCAAAAAATCTGAGATTCCATATGAAAATAGTTATAAAAAATAAAATTCATCAACGATCAAGATCTCGCTTAAAAAAAAACAAAAACGTATCACACTAGTCAAAATTTCACTCACACAAACTAGTGACTAAAATTTAAAAAAAAAAGGAAAATGAATCGGATTTCACCCAAAAAAGGAAATAGGTCTCACGTTGAAACAAGAAAACTCAGCCAGAAAGTAGTAGTCCTCATCAATGAAGCTCTCAAAGAATACAATTCCAATAAGCATACACACCAAAGAACAGAGAAAAACTGATAGTTTATTTCAACAATCAATTTCCAATGAATTTTGCATGCCTCAGAGGCCCAATTTATAACCTTCGAAGGACCAAAATAAGAAACTCCTTAAAACCTACCAAGATCAATTCAAATATAACAAGTTTCAATTCATCATTCGCATACCAACACCATATATGGTAAGTACATCTTCGGATTGAAGAATCCATTCATGACTCCAGAGCATGTAATGAGAAACGCAGAGGCAATAGCTGAAACATTACGTAGCAGCAATAGCCTTAATGGAAAAGCAAAACAGTAGAGGAAATAAAAGGGGAAAATAGTGCTTTATAGAAAGCAATTAGAAATGAAAATTACAGCAGTAGCAAGAAACAGAGGTGGCAACCAGTAGCAAGTGGAAATAGAGGACGGCAACTGTGTGAGTAGCAGAAAACAATACAACTATAGTAAGAAATTAAATAGAGTCAAGAATAAAACGCAGTTGACAGAACAAGGGCCAATGGGAAGGTAAGTATCCTCATTACTGAAAGTGTGCTGATTTGGAATTCAACGAGATGATCAGAATCTTGCAGTAATGGATTAATCTTAATAGACACCCAAAAAACTAGAGAACTCCCATCTCGTTCATATATGAGCCATCACCTTAGCAATGTTTACAAAAATTAAACTAAAATTAAATAAAATACAATAGTAAAAATCATAGTACTTATCACTATTTGTAATTTTGAGGAGTTTACACTTTTTAAGTTTCCATCAAAATTATCTGCGTTGAAAAACTCACCTCTTATGATATGAACATTTGATATTCTCCAAGTTTCAGCATAATTGTTATGTTTCTTGCAGAGGAAGCCATAAACCATCACAATTAGGCTTGTCATTATAAGGTATAATATATCATTGATATTCAACGTCAATAATGAACACAATCTAATCATCCATGATAGCTTCAAGAACAAGTAAAATAGCCTTTCTAGTAATGTATAGATGTGAATTCTCAAGGAGGGGATGGAAAGAGAAAAGTAGGCATTACTAGTAGCAAGTTCACGAAATAAAGTTAAATTAAATACACTGAAAACTAAACTAATACTAATATTTGACAAAAAATTTAGTATATAAGCGTTTATCCTAGTGCATTGTAAAACTTTATATGGCCCACTCTTTCATACGGGTAAATTTCTTAAAGGTCCATATGCAAACCTTTTTAGATATAAACACACCATTGGTTTATAACTTGGTTTAACTCCATATGTTTCATATTCTCATTAGCAACAAAATTATAACTGTTATAATTATTTATTAATTTCCATCGAATATCTTCATGCAAACCATGCATGTGCTGTGCAAATCCCTTGGGTCTGAATGCAACAGAAAGTTGAACATAATCTATTGGTTTATAAGGCCAATATCTTGTCACAATTTAAAATGAACTCAAGCTTATAGTTATATTAAAAGATGAATTATATGCAAACCAAATCAAAACTACTGTTAGATCCCACCAAGATTAGTGTTTTAACCAAATAGCATAACAAATCACTCAAAACTCCCAGGAACAACTTGAATTGGATAGTTGGATTGTTGTTGCTACGCAGTTGAAACTTTTAATTGATTTTCTTTTCTTACATAAAATTTTCTAAATGCAACTCAAGAATTTTACATTTATGTTTGATACAATTATTTTAGACAATATGTGCAGTTTAACCACTTTATTAAAGTATAATTTGGCTATATGAGATGCATTAACATTTTTAAAACATAGAATGAAATGAACCATTTTTGAGAAGCAATAAATCATTATAAAAATAGAATAATGTTGCCTTTTTTTTTTATTGTATGAGGTCACTAGGACCTTAGCTCAAGTGCCGTTTCTCGATCAAGGCCGGAAGCCATGATCACTGTCTCTGTCTACCTCTGCCGAAAAATTAAATGTTGCCTTAGTATCATTTAGGGTAATCCTATAGCAAAATAAATGCTCACATCCTCCCGAGGTTTATATGTGACAGGCTACCACTTAAAAGCTAGAACTATAAAATTAGGTAATTACTATTAAATAAAATGAGAATTAATTATAAAAGATATATTGAAATTTGCCTTGGATTAAAGAATGAGACAAACAATTTAGCGATTTGTTGCTTTTGCTCTAAAATAATATAAAAATCCTCCAAAAACTTGATCTTCGACATTGACTTTCTTTCATTTCTAAAATATTACTTCTAGCATTGAATCCGAATTCCGACATCATTAAGGTCTTCAAATGTCCAACGAACGGTGCATGATCAAATGATTCGATATCGGCCGTCTATTCAAACCACTCTCAATTCGCCCTTGATCTCACGCCTATTTACGGGCTATGCCACTCCAGAAAAACTATAAATAGAGCCCTCATTCTACACAAAGGGCAAGGGGACTCAAGTGAAGAGAGAGAAGAAGAAGAGGAGAAAGGGGAAAAGGAGAATCCTCTCCTCCTCGACCACCGTCGGAGTTCGTCCTGCCTCCCGAACACGCCGGGATTCTGCGTGATATTCGGGAGAGCGCAGGAATTCTGCCCAACTTCCACGTGATGCTGAAATTCTCCTCAATTTACAACAGAGTTCCCTCCTAACGCTGAAACTCTACCCGGCGTCGGACCTTCACTCTTTGCCAAGTTTTTACCCGACGCCGGACTTCTACCGGTTATCGGACTTCGCTGGACGTCTATGCGAAGATGCATTTCTTTCCATTGTTGGACTTCTACCTGACGCTGCCCTTCTGATCTTCGTAGTCAGACTACAGTCCTTCCGACCTCCGTCGCCCGTCGACTACGGTCCTCCTGACTTATGTTGCATGCCGACTACAGTCTTTCCGACCTCCGTCGCCCGCCGACTAGGGTCCTCCTAGCTTACGTCGCCCGCCGACTACAGTCCTTCCGACCTCCGTCGCCTGTCGACTACGGTCCTTCTGACCTATATCGCCCGCCGACTACAGTCTTTCCGACCTCCATCGCCCGCCGACTACAGCCCTTCCAACGAAGTGAATACGTCAATAACAACTCTTTGTATTTATATCATGTAATGTACTATATAAGATGTGCATCAAGCTAAGGCCTTCTCCCAAAAAAGGGCCTCATTTGTAATCGACTGCAAATATTCGTGGATTCGTTCAAAACTAGGCTAGGCCCCGTGGTTTTTTCCCCATTTTCAGCGGTTTTCCACGTAAAAATCTTGGTGTCTCATAAATGTTAGACCCTTTCTCTTTATCTGATTACGTGCCGGATTTTTGTACAACGCTAAGACGTTAAATCTTATATTTCTCTACCGCCGCGAATACTCCTGGAAGCAACAATGTTAAAAAATGACATATTAACTTTCTATTAAACTATGAAGTAATAAATTGACATATATATATATATGATAAACTACGTAAAATAGAATTAAAATCTAAAATCTAAATATAACAAGAGCAAAATAACATAAAATATAAGAATTGTACAAAAGTATCATATAACATCAAATTCAACTTCAAATTTTCCCTTTCTCAATTCCCTACTCATCCACATTTAATTCTTAAAAACATTTGATATAATTGGCAACAACTTAGAAATCTTCTGCACTGTTACCACGAAGGAGTTTTCATTTGAATCATCATCATAACAAATTGGTCTTTCCCCTGCATCATTCTAAGGAGTCCAATGTCTCTCAATTTGTTTCTTCTTCATTTATTTCAATCAACTTCCTCTTTCATAAATATTTATCATCAACATAAAGATGAGAGTAATATTCCAAAAAATTGAGAGAAAATGGTGGTGGTGTGCGATGTTCAAGTGATTCTTGGCGGCGATTATAATGGTGGTGGCTACAATGAAGGCGGCGGGCTATAGTTTGAGACAATTGAGAGGAAGTTGTTAAAGTTTTGGGGCGCATGAAGGCATGATTTGTTCGGAGCTTTAGTTTAAGATTTAGGTAAGTTTCAATAAAAACTGTATATAAATTGGGTGAGGCATATGCCTCACGCTAGCGAGGTAAGGCGCACCTGAAGGCAAGCTTCACCAAGCTAAGGCACAAGCCTCATAAAAAAATCGATACGTAAGTCTTGAAGCGTTTTTCACTGGAATTGCGCTGAGGCTAGCCTGAAGGCGAGCCTCATTTTATGCAATTTTAAACAATGATATGTGTCCGCAACTCTAAG